ACTCTATTTAGGCCCCGTTCGGGAGGGATTAAAAGCCAATTAAAATTGAAAATATGGCCGTTATTGGGTCCCACTCGTCTAATAAAAGTCAACAATAACGGCTATATTTTCAATTTTAATCCGATTTTAATCTCTCCCATACAAGGCCTTAAACAAGATATCCACTGTTCAATACACAGCTGTATCATTCTATGAAGCTATAAAAGCTGATTTAGTTTAACTTAACAAAAAAACTACGGACGTTTGAACTAATTAAAATCGAGGAGAACTCCAATCCTTAAACACACACAACTGGTGTGGGAAACAGATTTATAAAAGCTAATCAAACTCAAAACAAAGAACTTTAAGAAAAGTCATTTTGATCACTTGAAAAGGAATCTGTTCACATCAACTTAAATGTTCACCAAGATATCCTCCAATACCAGTAGGGATGTGAGAAACGCAGATACAGCATGCACATGTGCACTTGCAGACAGAATCTGAGATTACACTGATTCTGCAGTATAATTGAGCAATTTGATCAAAGAAATAGAACCATATCTGTATGGTCACGCTTGTGCATTAAATGATTTTATCTATGCTCATGCAGGTGCACATCAAATGAAATTTCACGCGTGTGTCTGCTTGTCGGCGATCTAGAGATTGTATCTCTAAGTGGTAGGTGCAAGCTTGCACGTGTATTTTTTAGTAAGAGGCCACATGTTCTCATTTAAATCTTGCCTAAAACATGCACCTTGACATGTGGCTCCAATTCAAGACAAGATTTAAATGAAAACATGTGGCCTCTCACCAGCCGCTTCAGCTTTTAGGTGATGAGACGGTTAACAAAATAGACGTGCAAGCTCGCATGCCACTTAGATACACAGGCTCTAGATCACGTGACAGGTAGACAATCATCAAATGTACATAAAAAACATGCACTTTCACGTGTGGAGCCAGTTCATTTTTTGATCAAAGATCAAATATGTGCACAATTTTCAGACTTCTATCAAGTTTTTTGCAGACTTTCATACCATGTTAACAATCACATCTAAAAGCTTAAGATGTTAGGGAGCCCACGTGAATTCATTTAAATCTTGTCTATCCTTTCATTTTTCCGAACTTGATTTTTAGGCCATGAATATGAATAATCTACCGCCCTAGAATTCTAAATTCAAACCCAAAGAAAAGTCCGAAACAAATTTTTATTTTATTTTATTTGCATCAACTGTGTTAATGATCTTCGTTTTCAATTTTCAGAAAAATCCCCTGAGTCAATAGGCTTTAATCAAGTCAGTTAGGGCTTCGATTAACAAAAAATCAAGAGGAATGAAGAAAGAAAGAAAGGAGAAGAAAATCGACTTGGATCAGTGCCGACACATTCAAGATTTTCACTTTCTCGTGAAATCTTCAACCTGCCATTCAACAATTCGCCCAAAACAAGTCATGAATTAAGCAGGGGCGGAGCCACCTGGGGTCTAGTGGGGCAACTGCCCCCACTGGATTTTGGTCCTGGGTATTTCACCTATTACACTTGACGGGCGGCCAGTTTTTAAGGGAGATAACCATAAACAACAGCATCAAAAATTCAAGAGATGTTTTCACTGTTGCTAGAAGAAGATTACCATCAAGAAACAACAGTTTTGGAAAAATAAATAAATTTCAAATTAAATCATTCACAATAATCAGATCGAGTGCGATTTCAACATATGAAGCCAGTTTTTACACTAATAAAATCCGATACTACCTAACAATTTTGTTGATGAAGAAGTTGAGTAGAAAGCACTGCAACACAAGATATATCCGATAAGGGGCAGATGAATATGTCGCCCTTTTGCCTCTCCCCCAATTTTTAGCGTAATATGGAGGAAGAAAACTGTAGATGCTTGTCTTCCTTCGCTATATAAAACAAGACGTGGGTTCAATCGGGCCTTACTAGATTTTTTTTCCTATTCTAACCCATTTTTCATATGGGCCTCAATCAAGTAAAAAATAAAAAAAATAGACCAATCCAATTTTTAACTTCTAGCTTTGACAAATTAAGTGATAAATAAAAAAAAATTCTTAAATCAAATGTTTAATAATTTAATTAATTCAAAATTTTCATGATTTTCATTGAATTTTTTTTTTCATTTCTAATATTGTTCTCGAAAATATAGTAATTTAAATAATATGTTCTCTTTTTTTTATTATAACTAGTTAGACGCATGTGCTATCAGCGTAGTTGGTTACTTAAGAGCGTTATTGTGAAAGCTTAATGAACCAAACATGAATGAAGCACCGGAAAATAGATTATAGCATCCATGTACAAGCGAAATAGTATTGTAGATATTTTTTATATTGGCTATGTTCATATCTAGAGTTTTCTCTTTCAAATTATCTCTTTCAATACTAGTGAACTATGACATTGAAATAGAAAAATGGAAAGATGAGACTATGAAATGATAAAGAAAAATTCCACAATTGGAATAATATATGGAAAAAGGAGATAGACATATAATCGTATAATTTATACTGAAATTGGACAGACTTAATTCAAATAAAAATATTTAAAGATAATAAAGTTCAAAATTGCAACCAAAAAAAAAAAGTTAATATGAAGATCATAAGAATTGTATTGGAACCAACTGTATTTAATGAGGTCACAGTCAGATTACCCCCAGGTCGGAGCTTGCCTGGTGAGGTCGGATATCAACAGTGACCCCCGGTATTTAATGAGGTCGTATGTCGAA